CTTCCCGCCAGTAAGCGGTCCCTATTTATCTACTTGCACCGGGGGTGCTTTCGAACTGCTAGGTTGGCAGGCGCTGGGACCGAGCAGTGGGAGCGGACCCCGCCGCGGGGATTCGAACCACCGACCTTTCGATCGGCAAGCCCTAGGCGCTGAGGCTTTTACCCACAGCGTCACCCGCGTCCTAAGTTGATGGGTATTGCCATTCAAATGGTGTGCATGTGCTGCATCATGTGATCAATTATGCAGGGTGGGGCTTACTCAGGTCCCCTCAATATTTTATTCAAGTTGGCAGCCCTGTGTGTGTATATATGTGTACACACACACACACACACACACACACAGTTCCATAGCTGAACAAGAATTTGAACCCAAGCCTGCCATGCCTTAACCCAACAGTCTACATCCCTTTGATTGCACCCAATAGAGTGGAAGTACCATAGATCTGCAGCACATTACATTTTGCTAATTTTGAGAGAATACACTTATTAAGTTCACAAATTAACCTCTACAGTGATTTGGTACAGAGGTCCAGAAAGCAAATAGCATACAGGCGTTAACTGGATTTTGTAATGACCTGCAAATGTAATGACCTGCAGATTATAAGCTTCAAGTGTTTTACCGTCCAGAGCCTGACCTGAGGCAGCTTTTACTGCGACCCCATCCTCCACAGAAATGTTTTCATCTCAAATACAGTCTGCCAACAGGCTATGAAGGGTAATCTGCGTGGTGGTAGATTCATGAAATATCAGAGAACTGAAACCAAAAATCTATGGCCTCTGCCTTGTCAATTCATACTATGCCATTGCTTCAAAGCCCCTTCCCTTTCTTTCCATGTCTGGCCAAAAAAGCCCATATATGTTGCACATCAAAAGTGACAAGGCTGTAAATTATTTCCCCCTTTTTCAGAGATTATCTCTGTGTAGGAAGTTATGGGTTCTATGCAATGTAGGCCTAAGGGACTCGTTCTGTGAATGCAAATATCTGCCCTTGCATAATAGAAATTCTCTTCTCCTCTCCCCCTGCTCACCTCATGCCCTCCCCAAATCTGCTTCAGAGGGCTGAGGGAAACCCCAGAACGTATTTAGGAGGTGCAGAGGGGAGGGGAGGAAGCTCCACTGCACAAGGGTGAATCCTTGTGCTGATGGAACATCCTAGTTGCATACCACTCTACATGTGCACTGTTGGGTTGCTGGCTGCTTTGATAGAATTCAGCATTCAGCTGGGAGACGAACTGAAAGGAGAGAAAAGCTGGTACAGAGGACCAGATATGTTTTTATTGTGGGATCAGTGCTCCTCACACATGGAAGTTTTTTGCAGCATCCACCTAACACCGTCGGCATGAAAATGCCATACGTTTCTCTCCACCCACCCAATTTAATCCAGATTTACCCTTTCCAGGGGATATCTGATACATCAGTTGCCAGGAACCCATTTATGCATGGCCCACTTACAATAACAAGGCCTTACCCGGAAGAACCCTAATTGGCAGAAGGAACTCAAGCGGTCCATCTCCCTTCCCCGAAAGAGGGAGACAGCTTTGAGGTTTTATTTGCAACTAAGCAGGATGCAGGTTCTGTTAAATTGATGGGTGCAAATGCCAGGGAAAGCATTATTCTAGTCCAGGGCAAGGATGGCAGAGTCAATGGAAGAAACCATGAATAATGGTTTTAACTTTGGAAAGGCGGCATACAAACAAAACGATTGATTGGTTATTGTGTTTATTTGTTGCTTATTACAAAAATAACTCAAAGCGACTTATATTTATAAAAGCATACATGGTATGCAATTTAAAATACACCAGAAAGATAAAATACAGTAATGTTAATTGGCTTAAAGTGTTGATTTTGCAGTAACCTAAAAAGGGGAAATTCTGCCCACTCAAAGATGAACATCAATACAATGGAAGCTTGTGTATCCACCAGTTAAGAGACAAACACTTTGAGTGAACAGGAGCATCTTTGCTTGGCACCTAAAAGCTGATAATGATGGTGCCAGGCACATCTCTCTGAAGACAGCATTCTACAGTCGGGGAGCCACCACTGAAAAGTGTTAGAATTTCTGCTCCATGATTGCAGTCATGGGATTTTTGTCTATCACATGACAGTGTATGTTTTGACTCCACAGAGTGGGAAGTGATGGAGACAGGATGTTTGTGTACTGTGTTCCGTGAAGTGGGACTATTGTCCTTTTTCTCTTTGCCTGTCTGATGCTGGGAGGGGGCATGTTGCAGTGCTCTGTGTGTGTTTATATGAAAATAAAGTAGATTCAATCCAAAGAGGAAGATGCAAAGAAAAAGTAAGTGAAAGAAAAGGAAGTGCCAAAGAATAAAGTAAATAAAGTAGATTCAATCCAAAGAAAGGGAGTGCAAATCCCAAAGAAGGAAGTGCAAAGAATGCTCCAACTACCGCCAATTTGTACTTTATTTCCACGCAGCAAGGTTATGCTTAAATTCTACAAGAGCTTAACAGTATTGGATCGGAATCCCCAGAAGTGCAAGCTGGATTTAGAGAGGCAAGAGGAACCAAGAGACCAAATTGCAAACATGCGCTGGATTATGGAGAAAGCTAGAGAGTTCCAGAAAGACATCTACTTCTGCTTCATTGACTATGCAAAAGCCTTTGACTGTGTTGACCACAGCAAACTATGGCAAGTTCTTAAAGAAATGGGAGTGCCTGATCACCTCATCTGTCTGCTGAGAAATCTCTATGTGGGACAAGAAGCTACAGTTAGAACTGGATATGGAACAACTGATTGGTTCAAAATTGGGAAAGGAGTACGACAAGGCTGTATATTGTCCCCCTGCTTATTTAACTTATATGCAGAATTCATCATGCGAAAGGCTGGGCTGGATGAATCCCAAGCCGGAATTAAGATCGCCGGAAGAAATATCAACAACCTCAGATATGCAGATGACACAACCTTGATGGCAGAAAGTGAGGAGGAATTAAAGAACCTTTTAATGAGGGTGAAAGAGGAGAGCGCAAAATATGGTCTGAAGCTCAACATCAAAAAAACGAAGATCATGGCCACTGGTCCCATCACCTCCTGGCAAATAGAAGGGGAAGAAATGGAGGCAGTGAGAGATTTTATTTTCTTGGGCTCCATGATCACTGCAGATGGTGACAGCAGTCACGAAATTAAAAGACGCCTGCTCCTTGGGAGAAAGGCGATGGCAAATCTAGACAACATCTTAAAAAGTAGAGACATCACCTTACCAACAAAGGTCCGTATAGTTAAAGCCATGGTTTTCCCAGTAGTGATGTATGGAAGTGAGAGCTGGACCATAAAGAAGGCTGATCGCCGAAGAATTGATGCTTTTGAATTATGGTGCTGGAGGAGACTCTTGAGAGTCCCATGGACTGCAAGAAGATCAAACGCATCCATTCTTAAGGAAATCAGACCTGAGTGCTCACTGGAAGGACAGATCGTGAAGTTGAGGCTCCAATACTTTGGCCACCTCATGAGAAGAGAAGACTCCCTGGAAAAGACCCTGATGTTCGGAAAGATGGAGGGCACAAGGAGAAGGGGACGACAGAGGATGAGATGGTTGGATAGTGTTCTCGAAGCTACAAACATGAGCCTGACCAAACTGCGGGAGGCGGTGGAAGACAGGAGTGCCTGGCGTGCTCTGGTCCATGGGGTCACGAAGAGTCGGACACGACTAAACGACTAAACAACAACAAACAACAACAAAGTAGATTAGCCAAAATGCTGAGTTGCTGAGGTCTGTCACATGAATTGCGAAGACTCTGCAGATCCCTAAGTGTGCCAATGTCTGTTGGCATCGGTCGCTGTGATGTTCGGGCAGAAGAAAGCTATTGAAGCGCCTGAACGAGCGACGGGCATGTTAGTCGGGCATGTGTCTCTGCCAGGGTCCTACTTGAGTGTAGGATGAGCTCCTGACAAAAAGTCCTGTTCTCATTTTGCCACCCTCCAGACCTCACTGCAAGAAGGAACACGGATTCACACAATGGTACCTTGCTGCTCTTTAATTCGGTCATTTTTTCAAAGCCACTTTTTTTTTGGTAGCCTGTTTCCAACTGATGGGCCTACAAGCCTTAAGAAGCAAAGCAGATCCTGCTCACCCCTCTGTTGCTCATGCCTGCCCTAGGCAGGGAAGGATGAAAGGGTGCTGGAAGTGAGGTGCACCTACAAACTACTTTTCCCGCCGACGTCTCTTTTTCATTTCAGGCAGGTGGGGGGCAGCTGTAGCTATTCAAAGGGAAAGGAAGGCACTCTGCACATGCCCAAGGTCACCTTCCCAGGAATCACTGCATCATACATGGCCGAAGGCGGGTCTGCCAGCAGCTGCCTCCTGACCAGTTTATGGCAGAGGCGATTTCCCATGGAGTGCAGGAAGATCAAACGTATCCATTCTTAAGGAAACCAGCCCTGAGTGCTCACTGGAAGGACAGATCCTGAAGCTGAGGCTCCAATACTTTGGCCACCTCATGAGAAGAGAAGACTCCCTGGAAAAGACCCTGATGTTGGGAAAGATGGAGGGCACAAGGAGAAGGGGACGACAGAGGACGAGATGGTTGGACAGTGTTCTCGAAGCTACCAGCATGAGTTTGACCAAACTGCGGGAGGCAGTGGAAGACAGGAGTGCCTGGCGTGCTCTGGTCCAGGGGGTCAGGAAGAGTCGGACACGACTAAACGACTAAACAACAACAACAATTTCTCCAGGCAGAGGGATGAGGGTCTGAAGCAAGAGCAGCAGGGAGGGCTCTTAGAAGCAGCGGTGAGAAGGGAGGCGGCAGGGAGAGGCAGTGTGGTGTACTGGTTAGAGCGCGAGACTAAGACCTGGGAGACGCCGGTTCCAATCCCCACTCGGGGCCTAAGCGGTTGGAGAAAAAGCGGGATAAAAAAGCAGAACATAAAATGTGGCCGGAGCGGACTAGGGAATCGAGGCAGGAGGAACGTCGGCCGGGTCCAAAGCGCCCAAAGGCGGCGCTTGCGCACTGGAGAGCAGCAGGTGTCTACCAACGCGCCGCCTCTGCGGAGCCGCCAGCCGGCCTTTTCCGCCACGCGGCTCACGTGGTGCCCCGCTCGGCGGGAGAGAGAGAGAGAGGCGCGCCTTCTCCTTTCCCGCGCGTGCTCGCGCCCCCTCCTCCTCCGCTCCCCGCCCCTAGATGCGCCAGGCGGCCGCGTGCACAGAGAGGGGGGCGCTTCCCACCTGCGCTCCTTCTCTCTGCAAAGCCCCGAGCCTGGAGCTGGCGCGGCAACGGCTGCCTGCCTGCCTGCCTCCCTCCTTGCCTGCCTGCCTGCCTTCCACTTGCCTGCGCCGCGCAAACAATGAGCATGCATGAAGCGGCGGCGGCGGCGGCGGCGGCGGCAGCAAGTCTAGCTGCATAGAAAGGAAGCGGGGATCCTCCTCCTCCTCTTCTTCCAGAGGAGAAGCCAAGGTGACCACCGCGCAAGAGGGCTCGTCTCGCTCTCCTGACTGTGTTGTGATCATATATCTATCTATCTGTGTGTCTGTGTGCCATCCATCTCCTCCATGCGTCTGCCCGGGTGGGGAGGTTATGCCGATAGCCGCCCCCGTCACCCTGCATGACATTTTCCTTCCCCCCCTTTTATGTTTACCTGCCCCCCCCCTCACTCCGGTTTCCCCCGCTGCCAAGGTTTTGCAGCATCAGTGCCTCCAGGATCTATTTAAGCCCTGGGTGCTGATAGGCTGCCCTCCCCACAGTACTGGGACTTGCGAGACTTCTTTTCTCCTGTTAAATCGATTACATTTCAGGGCTCGCTGATAATAAGCTCTCGTGCCTGTTTGCAAGGTTACAGATTAACTAATTGCTCCGAAATGGTGGATGTGGATTTTTTATGCTTCGAGCACCATGCTGCTTTTCGGTCTTTAAATAAAACTTGGGTGTCGTCTACGTGCGTGTGCTTTTAAAATCCTTATCTCCAACAGCTCTAGCCGTCGTATCGCATTTTATTATCGAGGGCAGGACCCTATATCTCTGCAATTGTCCTTAATTATTTTGATACGAAGGAGCAGGTGGGGGCAAGTGTTGCTCTGATCTCGTTTGCCTTCCTTTCATTTTCCTTTGAAATCCTGTTTCAAATCCATTGTGTTTCCTCTCACCACCCACATTTTGTACAGTCATGTTTATGTAATGGGTGCCTGCCCGGTAGATTTAGGCTGTTTTACGGCAGGTGGGGGAGGGAGGGGGCTATTTCTTATTTTATTTTTTTGCATGCTCCTTTAAAAGTGCTGTTTATCTGAGCAATAAAATGAAAAAATTGTCTTTTCGTTGAAGAGGACGGGTTTAAATATGAACGAAGACCCAACGGTTAATTTAACGTGGCTGCCTCCGGATCACTTAGAAGCCAGTCCGGCAGAGAATGTCACGGCTGCAGTCACCTCCCTGATTCCTGCCGGTGACCCAGAGCCAGAGTTCATAGTAAACCCCTGGGATATTGTCTTGTGTACTTCAGGAACCCTTATCTCCTGTGAAAATGCCGTGGTGGTCCTTATTATCTTCCATAATCCTAGTCTCCGTGCCCCTATGTTCCTCCTGATAGGAAGCCTGGCCTTGGCTGATCTCTTGGCAGGGATCGGATTGATCTTCAATTTTATCTTTGCCTACCTTCTCCAGTCGGAATCTACCAAGCTGGTCACGGTTGGACTGATCGTTGCCTCTTTCTCTGCCTCTGTCTGCAGCTTGCTGGCTATCACGGTTGACCGTTACCTCTCCCTCTATTATGCTTTGACTTACAATTCGGAGAGGACTGTCACTTTCACCTATATCATGCTGGTTCTGCTCTGGGGAGCTTCCATTTGTATCGGGATGCTACCTATAATGGGCTGGAACTGCCTGAAAGACGAGTCCACCTGCAGTGTGATCCGGCCGCTCACTAAAAATAACGCGGCCATCCTTTCTGTCTCTTTCTTGCTCATGTTTGCTCTCATGCTCCAGCTGTACATTCAGATCTGCAAAATCGTGATGCGCCATGCCCATCAGATCGCCTTGCAGCACCACTTCCTGGCCACTTCCCACTATGTGACGACCCGAAAAGGAGTGTCCACCTTAGCCATTATCCTGGGGACCTTTGCCGCTTGCTGGATGCCTTTCACACTCTATTCTTTAATAGCCGACTACACCTATCCTTCAATATACACCTACGCGACTCTCCTCCCGGCCACGTACAATTCCATCATCAACCCTGTAATATATGCTTTCCGAAACCAAGAAATCCAAAAGGCACTTTGGCTCATTTGCTGCGGCTGCATTCCTTCCAACCTTTCGGCACGGGCGAGATCTCCGAGCGATGTTTGATTAAGAGAGAGGACGGACGTTCATTTAGCGTTGTGTTACATGGCTTTGCTGCTTTCATTGCATTGTACATAACAGATTCACACTCGAGCCACAGGGAGTATTGACCTTTTTTAAAGAAAGGGAGGAAAGGAAAGGAAAACCCTGTTGACCCAAATAAACCATGTTGTGCAGTTTCAGGATCATGCCTAAAAGCAAAATCACCTCTTTGCCAACTTTTGAGTGTTGCTTATACTGTATTCTGCACTTGTTGGGGATGGGGAGCTAATTCCCTTAGATCCCAGGCTTCACCGTATCAGTTGAGAGGGGATGTTAGATGTAGATCTGATTTCTCCCTGTGAGAGAAAGTTGCCCATGTGCTCCACTTGCAAGAACCCACTTGCACCAAAATGTAGGATGAGGTACACATAGAGTTCCTGTTCAGGAGCAAGCAAGTCAACAACCCAACTTACTTGGGAAACAATTTTATTAACTTTAATAAGACTAGGTAAAAGTAAAGGGACCCCTGACCGTTAGTTCCAGTTGCGGACGACTCTGGGGTTGCGGCGCTCATCTCGCTTTATTGGCCGAGGGAACCGGCGTACAGCTTCTGGGTCATGTGGCCAGCATGACTAAGCCGCTTTCTGGTGAACCAGAGTAGCGCACGGAAACACTGTTTACCTTCCCACTGGAGCGGTACCTATTTATCTACTTGCACTTTGACGTGCTTTCCAACTGCTAGGTTGGCAGGAGCAGGGACCCAGCAACAGGAGCTCACCCTGTCGTGGGGATTCGAACCGCCGACCTTCTGATCGGCAAGCCCTAGGCTCTGTGGTTTAACCCACAGCGCTACTCACGTCTTAATAAGACTAGTCCAGAGTAAATGGGTTTTGAATTCGTCTCTCTCTCTCTCTATTGTTTCTGATGTATTTAAGAGACACAGATCTACAGACTTGCATTTTAGGACACAAGCAAATGACATTCAATGAGAGTTACACATGAGGTGGACTGTGGTCAAGAGATAGTCATCCGCAACAGGAACTAGTGGCTTGAGATACCAGACTGGGGTTTACACAGTGGCCTGCAGCGGTGCTGAGATTTCACCACCACACAGTTTCATGTGGATGCCTACATAGGATGACTTCCTTCCGGATCCTGGTGTTGGGAGGAAGGACATGCCAATGTATATCCACATCAGATGCACGTGTTTGGTTCCTGTTCTATCAAGAGAAGTCGTGCAGAGAAGTTTGCCTAAAATGTGACCTCAGAATTTACACCGTTTCCCATAAATCTCTATATTGAGCAAAAAATTAGTCTTTTCCCCAGTTGTTTACGCAACTGAGACCAGTTATGCTGCCTTTTGCTTTTTAGTATTAAGAAAAACCCCATCCCTTTTGGTCTTCAACCCAGTTCACATATAAGAGTAACCTAAACCATGGGTTATTGTAAGTATGCAGGTTCCCAGAGAAGAGATGGTAGCTGTTGTGCTCCTCTTCTGGTCCTCCTCCTGCTGCATTGCCAAGAGCTAAGCCATGGTTTGGCTTAGCATGTCATCTGAACCCTGGAGTTGAGGTTTGTCCTGCTTCAGGCAAACCATTATTTTTAACCAGTGCTTTCCCCCCCCCCTAGAAAAATAGATGCCAGTACTCACCATGAAGTTGTTGCAGTAAGTGCCACACTTTTTAACAACAACAGAGGTGCCGGTACTGTGTACCCTTGAGTACCCCCTGGGGGGAAAAGCACCAGTTTTAACTAATATTTCTTTTTTTTGGGGGGGGTTACAGCTTGTGGTTTGTCTTGGGAGAGCAAACCATGATCCCATGTGTGGATAACACACCAAGCAAAAGAATAGCTTAGCTCAAAGCAGTGCAGCAGGACAAGAAAAAGGGGAAGAGTGCAGAGAGTCTCTCAAGAACCTTTGCAGTTGTGCCAACCCATGGTTTGGCTTACCTTATGTGTGAACTGAAGAGTGGGCAAGAATCATTAACTCACATTTCCATTAATGTTAACCAGGCTGCAAATCCAACAGGAATCTTCAATAGCTCCGTTAGTGCTTGTGTTTATGATTCTGCACCCTAGACAGCTGATTTGCAATAACTAAGACTGTTATACAGCAATAAAGCACAGAATGCTCTGTTTTTACAACAGATCAATTTTTTTCAGCCAGCCTTGCAGTTAGCCACTTGCCTACTCACATTTGGTGAGTAGTGATTTCTTCAGATCACATAGATTGCCAAACCCACTTCTGTGACGCTTAAAATACATGAGGCAGGCACATAGGCTGGTGGAAAAAAGATTGGGGCTGGTAATTTTTTTAAAAAAATATTCATCTTCAAGGCTGCAAGAACAATTCAATGAAACAACATGCTTTAAATTCAGCATTAATCTCAACCCAGGACAGCTTGGTAAGATTTGTCACTGACATTTGTATGTGTTTTACATGAGACACACTTTGTTCTGCTCTGGCCTCCAGTTCTGAAATCTGACATTTTCATGTTTGAGTGCATAAGCTCAGATTGTCATTCCGAATAATGAAATGCGCGCGAAACATTTTTTTTTTAAAAACATTTTCTAGTGACTCCCCCCAGTTTTGAAGCACAATACTGTATTCATATAATTCCATTTCATTTCAGGATATTAGTTCTAGTGTGAAAGATGGAGGTTATTGTAATGAATAGTTAAGCGATGGGCTGTAATAGAAGACAACGTGTTGTTGTTTTCTGCACTTGGAAACATTTATGAGGGGGGTGCTCATGCCAGAAAGGGTACTGTAAGTTTTGGATTATAAAAAAACCTATAAAAAGTAAATAAAAATATTAAGCAGTATTTTCATGTGGACTTAAGAATGCAGTGGTTTCAGCCTGTGGTCTTCCAGATGGTGGGCTTCAACATCTGTCAACCTCAACCAGCATGACCAATGGTTAGCGATGATGGGAGCTGTAGTCCACTAGCTTCTGGAGGGCCACAGGTTGCCCACTACTGCTTTCCTGGCAGCTTGGCCTGTTTTAATGAAATGTAGGCATTTGTATTGCTTTCTGAGCCAAGGAGGGGAGATTCTTAGAGTATGAGGCCCAGGCATAGACATCTCTGCCCTATTTCCCAAGCCATCAGAGGGGAGCAAATCTGGGTTTTCTGGCTAGGAAGGGGGATATCTGAGCAGCTGTGCGGAACTCGAATGGGAGCCTCTTTTCTCTTTTATTCTAATTGAGACTCTGTGCCTTTAATAAAGGGGCAGCCAATGTGGTTCCCTCTGGATGTTGTGACCTCCAAGTCCCATCCTCCTTGACCACTGGCCATGTTGATGGTGGCTGATGGCAGCTGGAATTCAGAACATCTGAAGGGCACCGTGTTGGCTGCCCCTTCTTTAACAGCGGCACGCAGAAATTCGACAAAATGCAGCTCCCCCATTATTGCATCCGTCTGCCAGACAAAGCAGCTCCTGTTGAATGTCAGCCTGCTGCAGAGCAATTCGAAGCACCGAACCTCTGTCAGGGAAAAGCTGGCAAGCATTCTGAGCGGCCGAGGAGAAGAGCTGACTCAAAACCCAGGAATGGTTGGGGAGAGAAGAAGGGAATGGAACTGCTTGCGGGGGTGGGGTGCAATATAACGGGGAGCAAAAACCTTGGACCCAGAATGTCTCCCCAAGAGTGTGGTTGCTATGCATTGACAGGAGTTTACACATCTTCTGAATGTCAAAGCGATATACCTTATTGTTTCAGTGACGTCTCTCTGTATAAATCCATTACCTTTCCTTTGTGAGAAAAGAAATATTGAAAGTTATATTTTAAAAAAGCACTGTATGATATATATTGATGGAAGAATATTCCATATTGCTGACACTGTATCTTACTAATCAAAGGGCTGATTCAATCTCATGGGTTTGTTGTAGCACAGGCTTCTTGTGCGGTAGGAACTATTGCCTTGTTTTTCGGGTGGGGAGCTTTCTAGCCTAGCCTCCTGTCTGGGGTGCTAAACTTTCTCACTTGTGGCGCTGTTTTCGCAGGGAGAACTGTCAACAGAACAACTCAGTGGAAAGTTGAGATGGTACAAACACTTTGTCCAAGCTGTACCTCCTCAGTGAAACGTGTTTGAATCGGTCCATGCTCCCTGTCTTATCATGTGGCTATTTTGACGATTGTGGCTTTTGTGGCACATTTCTGTGGTTTTTAACAATTTGTAAGCTAAACACAGAACAGAATTTCATGTGTGTGCATAGGTCTCGTTTTGTCTGAGGCCGTAGGGGTTTCAATTGCAATAACTTAGTTTTTATGCCAAATGTAAACTCTCTTGTTGAAAGTTTTAATTTGTAAAACTACAAGGACTTATCAAGACTGGTGTATTGAACACCGCTGTTTCTTCCAGACTCATCAGATGGGTAGATCTGAGCAACAATTTACATCTCGAAATACTATAATGCGTTTCTTTGTCTACATTTGTATATTAAGGCAATTCTGATTGTTTTCAGGTTCCCACTACTAATTAATAAGGAAGCATCTCCTAATGTGTTCTAGAATGAATGCTTTTGATTTTTATACAAAGTGTATACAATGTATGACAACTACGTGTTAGGCTTGTTTGCTAAAATGAAAAAGTCAATTTATTTTGATTGTATTGCCCTAGTAAAACAAAGAAAGAATCTTGTTCAAATATTGCCCAAACCACTTTTTGTTCTCTCTGTCTTTCTCTAACATGCCCAGGAGTCTGATGTGTTCAGTGTCCAAACTTGTGTAGCTGCCTCCTTGCCTAGGACAAGTAAGAATCCCTCTCAGCTGACCAGAGAGGAAAGCTTCTATAAATTGGATAATAATTGGTTCTTTTCTTTTACTATCCCTTTCTTTCAAAGCATGACTCTGTTTGAATGTAACACTAAACCCTGGTTTGGATGTAACGTGCTCTTATTCCCTCCAGTCCCACCAACTATCACAAACTGGAAAACTGCAGCAATTTATTATTAGTAGTTCTGTTAGCATTATTTTACATATGCTACCTAGACACAATTTGTACGAATGTAGTGGACAAATGTGCCATTTCCTCTGGGGCCAAAAGCACCAATTCTTAGAACTCTTTTGGGTTTTTTTTAAAGAAAGTGATTGTCAATGAATTGGTACAATATGCTGTCCTATTAAGGCAACCATGAAAGCTTTCACGCGTCAGTGTATATCCGTCCATCCCTCCAAGTTACATGAAGATTATCAAGTATATTTTGTAATATATGCAAAGAAGATTATTTTAATCCGAGGAGAAGAGATTCTGTAGACCTGTGCACTAGGGTTTGTTTCTGTAGGCCAGTTCTAGTGCCTGTGTGGGTTGTAAACAGCTCCTGGGTGTAAGTTAGACATATGAGTACAACCAGCACCATTGCCCACTGCCCATAGAGCTCTAAGTGCAAATCAGAAATGTGCTTGCTGTGAAAAAGAGATGGAGCAATGCCATGAGAGGGGCTTACTCACATTGAATTTTTGCATATCAGTCGCAATTTGCATTAAAAGATTCATATGGGAGTCTTTGGGGGGAAGAAATATGAGCCCAAGGATCATGAGCTAGCACGATGTGAGCTGTGCATCCTTTACTCTGCACTGTGTGTATAGCCCTCG